ATGTTTATATTGAGACTAGAGTGCAATTCAAGTGGCAGACTGTAAAAAATGGCATGCATCAGGAATATATACTCAACACATAAATTTGGCCTAGTATAATAGAAATTTGTCCGCGCATTTCGGAAAATAAATGCCAATTTATTATACTGTACAGTACAGGTCTATTTCGTGAAGTGGATCCTACAGTATGTCAGCCACTCTAGGTCAGGTGTGTCTCTTTTTGGATTATCTGTTTGAGTAGGGTCTACAGGTACGCACGATAGCGGGATACCGGTCTGCGCTTGGCGCTATTCTACCGACGTTGCCGGATGGATCAAACATTTCTTCCTCTAGTGTGGTATCGCAGTTATTATGAGTTATGTTCAATAGTCGACCCCCGATGTGCGTTTTACCTCCTCGCTGGGATATTAATATTGTGATTGAATCTCTCAAGGGTTCTCCTTATGAGCCCCTTGGCTTGGCTTTCTTGCTTAATCTGTCTTTTTTAGTGGCTGTTGCTTCGTGTAAGCGCCGTGGTGAGATTCACACTCTTTCCTTGGAGCCGGGCCATATTCGATTCGAGCGAGGTGGTGTTCGTCTCATTTTCAGAGCTGATTGCCTCGCGAAGACGCAGACTTTGGCGCATTCCCCTCCTTCTGTCTTCATTCCCACCATTTCCTCGCACTCTTCTGTGCGGGAAGACAAGGTTTGGTGCCCTGTGCGAGCTTTGCGTTTTTACATTCATCGCACGCGTCCGTGCACGGACTCGCATTTGTTTGTTTCTTCAGTTCGGCCCCATTTGCCTGCTTCTGTTGATGCCATTGCTCGCTGGGTGGTTTCGGCCATCCAAGCCGCTTATGCGTCGGCTCGCAAGCGTCCGCCTGCCCACATGCATGAGGTTGCGGCACGGTGGCTTCTTGAGCTCTCTTTCGAGGGGTTCCCCTCGCCGACATTCTTGCAGCGGCATGGTGGAGATCGGAGACTACTTTTTCTTCTTGTTACTTGCGGGATGTCGTCTCGACCCAGGCGCCTTTGGCAGCTGCTGTTCTGAAGCCGTCTCCATAGGTAAGTTTTCTGGTTTCTGATCATGCCTGCCTCCTCTTTTACGCTGCTAATCTGGCAATTAGTCGGTTTATCCAGGTAAGTATTCACGAAATAGACTACACAAATCAATCGTGATGTTGGTAGTCTATGAGTGAGATACTTACCTGGATAACCTTCCCTCCCTTCCTACCCTCTCCGTGATCTTTTGGATCTCTAGGGAATGAGGACATTTGTTAGGGAGACGGTTTGTAAGTGGCGCCCTGGGTCAGACTGTTCCATTTATTTCGGGAACAATGGCAATTAGTCGGTTTATCCAGGTAAGTATCTCACTCATAGACTACCAACATCACGATTGATTTGTGTAATTTTGCCGAAAATTAGTCCTTGACCTATCTCTTTTTACCATGTATAATATGCAGTAGTTGCAATTTAGCGCACCTATTTTCATAGCAACTTTCAGCGCAAATTTCAAGTAGTTTTAGATGTATCATCTGCACATCTGCAATTAAGTCTCCTATTCTGATCTCTCCAAAGGAGAGAGTAAAGAGGAAAGGATGGTCTCACTGACCTGAAACTACAGTTCGCCCTCCAATTTCAGACAACTTTGGAACCTGAAAATGTGGGGTGATCTCAAGGTTGGTCTCCAATTACAGTAGAGGGCTAGCTTTGTGTTAAAAGATTTGAAGATTGTTATTTGGGTCTTTGAGAAAGTGTTCTTGAATTAGAGGGGGTTTCGGAATTAGAGGGCGCATTACAGTATCTGCAAATTTAGTTCCACTAAGTGGGATAACATACTATAGAAATGACCATTGCATAGGGATTTAGTTTCGCATTCAAGGGTTTAGTTACACATTCCACACTACCACCAGTGGTGGCTCTAGGATATATTTTCTGGGGGGCTAACTTGTCCGACAGGGGGACTTGAGTTTGTAGGCTCGAGCTTGGAGAAGGGGTTAAGAGGGGTTCCCCCTCCCAAATGAGATTTGTTTCAAGAATATCAACGTAAGATGACAGAAAATGGCACTTCTCAGACTGTGACAGACATGTGTTGGCTTGGTGTGGGCCTCTTTTTATATGTTTTATGGTCTGAATGCCCGACGAGCTCTGTCCGGTGGAGGGCTTAAGCACCCCTGACACCCCGCTGGTGCCGCCACTGACTACCCCCCCCCCCCCCCCCCCACTCAAGCTTAAACCAGCCTATGCCCCTCCTTAGCAACAATATCCAAGAGCTGGTGCTTATCAGAAAAGTCATGTGTAAATTATATGTTGTTTTGCTTACATTTTAGAAGCCAAGTATGCTTTGGTGTGATGTCAGCGGCACAGATGCGACAACAGGCCCATCTTCATGTTGTTAGCAAGCGTTTGTACCAGCAAGAGTCGCACACTCCCGTACCGTTCGGAGTGCTTGATCACAGAATGGTAAATATATTTTTTACATGGAGATCCATCAGCTGATTGTTAATTTCCAGTAAAAGAACCCAAGCCTATCTATCTACGGTCTACGGTCAGTATAAAGCCTGGGATTGGCTTTATAATTACCATTGAAAGAAAGCAAGGTCTACCACCTAGCCACACCTCTTCTGTTAGCCTTTGAGTGGAGTTGAATAGCTTAGTGGTTAAGATGTGTCTGGTCATATATTTTCTTAAACGTATATGAAACCGGATTTGATTTATAATTTTATTACAGTAGTATATAATTTCTGCAGTGCATCAATAGTTCAGATAAAATATAAGTAAATAGTACCAGTCATTTTTTTCAACTTTTTTTTGTAAAAGGTGGCTAATAAAGCTCTCTGGGTTTTTCTTACAGAACCTATTGTTTATTGTTGTAACCTCCTTCCATACAAGATATGTGACAAAGACAATCCAAACCAGTCACTCGTCGCAAAAATCAATTTTTAGTTATTAATACAGTGTGAAACAGTAAAATGAGATCTATAAAATGGTAAAAGAATCATTAAAGTCCAACTTTTCGTTATGAAGTTTACAAGAGTGTAGACATACAGCTGTTTGAACAACAATATTTGAGAAATCAGCCTTCAAAGTTTATGATTTCAGGCATTTCTCATGCAGAAACTATCATAAAATCA